CTCACCCCTCCCGCCGCCTAGCCGCTCGCTCGCCGTCGGCTCGCCCACTCGCGTCAGACCTTCTACCTCTTCGTGATCCGCCCGCCGCCACCCTCGCCTCACCCTCCCGCCGCCTAGCCGCTCGCTCGCCGTTCGCTCGCCCGCTCGCGCCAGACCTTCTACCTCCTCGTGATCCGCCCACCGCCACCCTCGCCTCACCCTCCCGCCGCCACGCCGCTCGCTTGCCGTTCGCTCGCCCGCTCGCGCCAGACCTTCTACCTTCTCGTGATCCGCCCGCCGCCACCCTCGCCTCACCCTCCCGCCGCCTAGCCGCTCGCTCGCCGTTCGCTCGCCCGCTCGCGCCAGACCTTCTACCTCCTCGTGATCCGCCCGCCCCCACCCTCGCCTCACCCTCCCGCCGCCAAGCCGCTCGCTCGCCGTCCGCTCGCCCGCTCGCGCCAGACCTTCTACCTTCTCGTGATCCGCCCGCCGCCACCCTCGCCTCGCCCTCCCGCCGCCTAGCCGCTCGCTCGCTCCTATCCGTGCCACCCTATCCGTGGTCCTGCCGCCACCGCGCCTTCCTCGCTCCTTCCTGCCGCCGCCCTCTGCTCAGTCGTTTGACCCGCCGCCCAATGCTCCGCCGTTCGCTGCCGTGGTCTGCCGCCGTGCCGCCGCTCCTTACCGTGCCGCTCCTTCCGCGCCTCGCCGCCCTTGCCATTTATTCGCCGTCCCTCCTGCCGTGCGTTACCGCCGTGCCGCCGTACCGCCGCTCCTACAGTGCCGCGCCGCCTCCCACACGCACACACCTTACCTCCTGCTCGACCGAGTTTGCGATGAGAAGTGACCCGAGCCGCCGGGTGCCCCGCAGCGGCCTCGCTGGACCAGAAGAACCGGTCCGCGAGTGCTCCGCAGCAGCCTCGCTGAGCCAGAACGTCGGCTCGCGAGGTGGGGTGCTAGTATGAGCCCGACCCAGGTCGTAGTGTTCTTGCTCCCAGCGCTTGCGCTTCGGCGGTTAGTGGTGCACTAACCTCCGAGAAACCCTTCGGGTCGCTCCTCATCGCAAACCCTGTCAGCAGAGTCTCCTACGGGAATGTACGTAAGAGCTACATACACTGAAAAACACTGCAAAACTCGGCGGGGACGCGCGGTTCGTTTGAAGGTAAAATTCTTTTTTACTGATTCAAGATACTGATTCAAGATTTGTGAGTCAAACGCCAGGCTTTCCTTGTCCTCAGAAAATAAGAAAAAGGAACCACGTCCACGCCGCAACGCCGGCCGCAGTGATTACACATGGCCACGATGGGTCCGCGCCGCTCCTTCGCCCGCCGGCCGCCGCCCCGACCAGCCCGCCCCTGTCACCGGCCCGCGCGTCCCGCCTCCTCGCAGAGACAGACGGCAAGCAGGAGGAGATCTACTCCATCCCCGAGGCCGTCTCGTCCGGCTCGCACGTGCGCGGCATGCACAATTACCTCGCCACGTGGGAGCGGTCGGTGGACGAGAGCGACGCGTACTGGCTCGAGCAGGCAAAGTCGCGGCTCACGTGGACGGTGCCGCCGTCGCGGGCCTGCCGTGGTAACTTTGCGGAGGGCAACATGAGCTGGTTCGACGACGGGCTGCTCAACGTCTCTGTCAACTGCCTCGACCGGCA